CCATCCCTTGCAGCAACTCTTTGTGGGACTGTTCTGTAGAACGTGCTCAGGCACAGATGTGCTTTAAACATAATCCAACAAAATCTTGACCTAAATCAAGTGGTCTAGTTGACACATTTCAAAACTGTCAACAGAACCTGGTGGCCTGCTAAGTGAAAGGCAGAGCTCTTGGCAGCAGCACTGCTGTCAGACCTGTTGCTTGTGAAATGATACTGCTGCACATGCATGCAGGATGAAGGCGTTTTTCAATCCTTATTGCCATTTTGCCTTCAGCATTTTTTTTTTTTGCAGAGGTCTTTAATGGCAGCAGTGACAAGCTGGTGTCAAAACAGTTGCCACACAGTAGCTGGAAAGTGACTGGTCTGGATTAGTGCAATTCAGCAGAAGATCTAATTTCAAACTTACTCCCTGATCTTGTTTGCCATGACGTTGCAGGTGTATTTGCAGGCCCAGGAACAGGAGTAGCAGCTTGTGGTGGGGGAAGAAGGCATCAGTGAAATGGGATTTGCTCTGCCTCACACAGCATGCAGTACTATGGGAGGGAGAGAAGCTCTGCTGGAGCTTTTCCTGCTTGAGGCCTGGAGGGGAGCTTTTACAGGAGCTGGGCAATGCAGCAGGGTTAAGTGACCTCTTCTGGGCAGGAGCTTTCAATAGCCATACTGGGTGGGCCTGGCAGCCTCATTCTGCCTGCTAAGCACTTAATCCCCTCCTGTCCAGTGTGCTCTGTTTAGCATCCATGATGCAGTTTTAAATGTTCCTAGCTTTTTCCCCTCTTCTGTTTAATCCCTGTAATGCTGCGGCCAGTCAGTTCAGCCTCCTGTGTCTGCTGGAGCTGGCACACCACAGGGGAAGGAGATGGGAAGGTGTTGCTGGTGGCTGGGCGCCATGAGCAGCTGGGTCTGACTCCTTCCCTGCTTTCCACTGCTGCTTTTTGATCTAACTGTGAAAAGGAGAGCTTAACAAATGCCTTGGATACAAATTATGGCTTTAAATAAAAGCCTTAAATGACTGTTAAAGAGACCTACCTTGTGCCTTCAGCAGAGTTGTCTAAAAGCACTGTGGGAGGGGACTCGTGGAGGTACCTGCTGGAAGAGCAGGTGCTCACAAGGTGCTGCAGTTGGCTCTGGCACACAGCTTTCACTGCAAGGCTGTGTGCAGGACTCCTTGTGCCACTCACCCATATGCTTTTATTGCTATTTTGGGACAGGCTGGCTCAGTCATTTCTGCACCAGCTGGAACTGTATCCTAGCGAGCAGCATCCCCAGGCATGACTGTAGCCTTGAACTAGTATTTTAAAGCTAGAGTATTTGTGCAACTGCAGAGTTCCTATTTTTCTGTATTTTTAAGTTTCCAAATGCCACCTCTGCTGCTCATGAACTGTGTTGCTCCATTCCCCTTCGTAGGGAAGGAAGATGCCATTTTCTCTTGAGGATGATGGGAACAGCTTCCCAAAAATGAAAGCACTCCTGTTTCAGAATTGTCAGCAATATGCTTGCTGTTGAAGGTTTATTTTCTCAAAATGGTGCTTCCTTCTTATAATGGCCTCCCCTACACAGAAGGGGACCTAGTCAGTTCTTCCTTAGGAGTGGGCTGTGTAGAGGGATGGATGGCTAATATTTTGCAAGGGGACAGCTCTGTGCTGCCTGTTGCATTTCTGATGAATGAGCTGCCTTGTTAGAGGCAAAGCTGTGTATGTTGGAGCCCAGGACACTATGCAAAGCAGCTCTTCTGCCACACTGAGGTCACTGCTGTTTGGTTTTTACCCAGCCTTGGCTATGATGCCTGAAACTGCACTCAGTATTAGGTACATTAAATTAATCTGGCATTTATTCATTCTCACTCTGTTGGTCTTGACTGTTCTTCCTGGTTGTTTTGTGGGGACACTCAACTAATTCTTTACAGCTCCAGATACTTTAACACCACTGGCTGCTCTTACCCAAATACTCTGCTGTACTGCAGTACCATCTGTGGCTGAACGCTGCATTGCACAGCTTGGAAGGCCTGTGTGTTTAGGCCAGCCTGAGCAGGACCCAGCACCAGGGCCTCCCTGCTGGCTGGCAGCAGGTAGAAAAAGTGATAGCAAGTAGTGAAAGAGCATGAGGCTTGCCTTACGAAAGTGCCAGGGTGTGTGGCAAGTCTTCACGTCCTTACCCTGCAAGCACAAAGCCAGTGCAAGAATAAATGGATGCTTGGCTAGATCCTTAACCAGTGTGCCAGGCAGGTAACTTCCATTTCATCAGAGCTGGAGGTGTGCAGAAAGGTAATGAAAGCAGGGTCAGATTAGGCATGTACTTGCTTGACTAGCTAAATCATAGAAATTAGCAAGAAGGATTGCTAATGTGTCACAGGATTGGCAAGCCCTTCTGCTTTTGATGAAGACACCTGGGTAAAATTTGTTCTAGTTGTTTTTGGTCAAGATCTCAATATGTAAGCAAGACTTAAAGTAGATGAACTCCTATGCTGGCGGAGGAATTCCCTCCGTTACATACTGGTGGTGACTGGAAGCACTGAGATGTGGGACACAGAGGTAACTTGCAGCTAGTCCCTAGCACAAATAGAAATAGATGGTGTGACAGAACACTTGCAAGTTCAGCATGTTTATGTCAGCAGAGTCTGAATGTATCACTGTGTCTAGCAAAAGGCAGCATCTAATGCTGAGATGGAGGCACTTGAAGAGAATCACTTACTAATGGGCTGCTGTGCTGGTAGGCTGATCATGCCTTTTAGTAACCTAAAACTTACAGAGACTTCAGATTGCAATGCTTGTGCCACCTGTGCTTAAGGGTCAAGTTCAATATCTAACATACACCTCTAACTTGTCCACACTGCTGCTGAGGATGTGCAGGACAGAAAATTAAAATGGGCTTCTGTGTATTTACTTTTTTTCCAAGGTTCTGTTTCACTAATGTACTGTAAGAAGTGTTTTTTCATAGAATGGTTAGAGTAATTTAAGTTGGAAAAGACTTTTAAGATTATCAAGTCTGACTGTAAGCATTAACACTACCAAGTCTACCACTAAAATGTGTCCCTAAGCACTGCATCTACTATTTTAAATACCTCCAGGGATGGTGACTCAGCCACTTCCCTGGGCAGCCTGGTCCAGTGCTTGACAACCCTTTCTGCAAATAAATTTTTCTTAATGTCCAACTTAAACCTTCCCTCATGCAGCTTGAGACTGTTTCCTCTTGTACTGTTGCTTGTTACCTGCAAGAAGAGCCCCACCTCATTACAACCTCCTTTCAGGTAGCTGTAGAGAGCAATAGGGTCTCCCCTCACCCTCCTCTTCTCCAGGCTAAACAACCCTAGTTCCCTCATCTGCTCTTTTTAAAACTTGTTCTCCAGACCCTTCACCAGCTTTGTTTCTCTTCTTTGGACATACTTCAGCACCTCAAAGTGGCCCAAAAACTGAACACAGTATCTGAGGTGTGGCCTCACCGGTGCCAAGTAGAGGGGGCAATTGCTTCCTTACTTCTGCTGGCCACACTGCTTCTGATACATGCCAGGATGCCACTGGCCTTTTTTGCCACCTGGGCACACTACTGGCTTGTATTCAGATGGCAGTTGACCAACACCCCCAGGTCCTTTTCTGCCTGACAGCTTTCCAGCCACTCCTCCTCAAGCATATAGTGTTGCATGGGGTTGTTGTGACCCAAGTGCAGGACCCAGCACTTGGCCTTGTTGAACCTCATACAGCTGGTCTCAGCCCATTGCTCCAACCTGTCCAGATCCCTCTGCAGAGCCTCCCTACTCTCAAGATTAACACTCCTGCCCAACCGTCTGCAAACTTACTGAGGGTGTCCTTCATCCGATCACTGATAAAGATACTAGTTTATATTAGACTTGTATTAACAGAATAATTCAAGACCTCTTGTCACCAGTTTGTAATACTTTACAGATTGCAAAGCTGGGAAATGTTTTTTTGCCATTCTTTTCCAGTCAGTAGTTGTTATCCATGGGGATTTATATGACTATATTTAATAAAATTATGATACAGACTTGTTCAAAACAATGTATAACCTTATTGTAAGGCTTACTTACAGACTTTATTACCAGCCTTTCACATAGATCTATGTGGTATTGCAGTGCTGTACCAGGTATTTGCTTCATTTATCTTAAGTGTAAGACCCAAACTTCTGTATATAAATAGTAGTATGCAGGGTTGTTTCCCTGTGTTTTAATTGTATAATACTGATTCAGCCTTCAGTGTTGATCTACATCTGCAAATTAATGATGGTACAGACTTTAATTTCTCCCTCACAAATGCTCTGCTACATACCTGATGTCTGGAGGACAAATGCTGGACTCTTGTTATGGAAGGTTTAAAAAGGATGTGGGAGAAATGAGTCTCAGGGCATATTTGCCTAGAGAATTTTTTTCACTTTAAGTGTAAAACGTGCTTCACAGAACAGCTAGCAAGGGTGATATCTGTCACACTAAGTCTTTGCTTGCTCCTCTTCTCTCCTTCATAAACAGTAAACCATAATCAAGATGTATATATAATCAGGGTGCTTCAAAATGAATCACTTTTTTCTTTCAGTAGAAGCTTATAATATGAGGGATTTAATACTGCACACAATCAGTCTTCATCTCTGGCTGGCAGCATCTACATGATGTTCAGCAGTCCATCTGTTTGCTGTCTGAAAGATGGAAGGATGAAACAGCAAAGACAAAAGATCACTGGAAACAATCTTTAAAATACTGCCTGAGCTGTTAGCTATCTGTAGCCCCACTGGTGAAAGGCATGTTTGAGCTTGTGAAAACTGATGTATAGAGGGATGGGCTTGGAAATATTGTTGTCACTAAAGAAAGAATGGAGGCATTTAAGCAAGGTATGCATCTGTTGCTAAGGAAGTAATGACTTCTTCCATTTCTAAAAAAAGCCCAGCTTCAGTGAGAGAGGCTGTGTAAATCAGACAGTAATATGTGGTCTTTGTGGGCTTAAAGCATAACTTCATTTTTCTTTAGAGAAAGAAAAAGAAAAAGAAGATCAAGAAAAGCAGCAGAGGGAAGAGCAAGAGAAAGCTGCGGAGCCCGCTCCTGCGAAGGACGCCGACAAAGCCAGCCGCGCGGGACGCCGCCCGAGTCAAAGTGCCTTGTCCAGCCGCAGCGCTCGAAGAGCAGCCAAAAGTCCTCCAAAGACAGATGCACCAAAGGAGAATAAACATCCGTTTGCTCTGTATGGGTGGGGAGAAAGACAGACAGATACCGGAAGCCAGAAAACTCACAATGTCTGTGCTTCTGCCTCAGCCAATGAAGTAAGTCAAAGCTTGTGTTTTGTTTAGGGGCAGTGTCCACATAACACCTGGATAAGACACATGTCTGATATCTAGGGAAAGCTTCTCAGGGATGCCTTTACTTCAGCGTGTGGAGATTCCAGCAACAAATTCTTAAAAAAAAAAATATATATATATATTTATAGATTCTAGCAATAAACCTGAAGAGGTTTGACATGTCCAAGTCAAATAGCTCTTAACTGTCAATTGGTTTTGAAGTTTCCCATGTGTGACTAACACTTGCAAGTTCTGATTAAAACTTGGCTATCTTGTTTCTGGCTGTTACAGTGCTACCAGCAAAACTGGCTGTTGTAAATGTATTTCTGCATTCTCAGCTTCAGGAAAACAAGAGCAAAGCAGCAGGCAGTTAGCACCAGGCATCCCACAGCAGGCAGGTATATAAACCTGGGGTAGCACTTGTGCTGTGCACGGGGGGGCTTCTGCTTCCTGGGGCACTTCCTAGGACGAGGTGCCTCCCTGAGAAGGTATGAATGCTTTGCTGCTAAACTGTCTGCCTAGCAGCACATTTCAGCAAGTTGCCAGAGGGAACATTCTACTGACAGCAGAATGGTTTTCTAGATGGCTGATGGATTGCTGGGTTGATGTACATATTGACAAAATAGCACAAACTGATATGGTCATGAAGAGCATCAGGGTTCCGCTGTAATGGGGTGTGTTTCCTGGCCTAGCAAGAAACACTAAGATTGGAGTGTTACAACAGATCCCTTTTTTGTTTTTGTAACACTCCTAGGCTGGCAAAACAAATCATTAATGTATCCTGGCCATGGTCTTGTTATCTTACTACTGAAGCAGGCTCTGAATCTATGATCCAGGATATCTGAGGATTAAGGTGATGGGTGGTGTCCTTGATGTGTAAGATAGAGCTGACTTCAGGCTGTTTTGGAAAGGGCTTGAAGCACAGTCTTTTCCTTCATGGACAGCTTGATGCTTTGATGGAAACGAGGAAGTTTGGCCTTGCAGCTCTTGGAAGAAGCTGCCCTTCCTGGTAATGGGCACTGCTACTGGACTGATAAACTGTGGTCGGTGCTGGAAATGGTTGACTGGTGCTTTATGTTGAAGCCCATCAGAGGCTTATTCCTGCCTTGAGCAGAGATATTCATACTTTCTAAGACTTCTGATATTTCCTATGATAGAAAAAGTTGCAGAACCCCAAAGCTCAGATCTTGAGTTTGGAGTGAATGGGCAGGCCAGTTCTGCAATGCTTCCAATGAGCCAGTGCTTTGTCACTAGGGATGTTTCTTTAAGTGGGAACTACTAGTGCTTGGCTAGGTCACTTTTCTTGAAAGTTTGAAAACTTACTTTTCCCCTAATTAAGATGGGAGACAATTTTACATCTGAAGAGAGAAGCAAGCAAATGTAGAAGCTGACTTGTAAGATTAAATCTGGGGAAACCGTGTAAATGTGCCTGCAGCATGTTGTCAAAATTAAGTTCTTCAGTCTCTTATAGTAAGGAGTCTCTAGAGATTGATTTTACTGCTATGGCTCAGGTTTTGGGGGTACTTGGGCATAGTGAGGGATGTTTTAAGAATTTTAAATACTAGAAGTGAGAGAACTGAGTTTTTAGAATATGTGAGAGTAAGACTGAGAAACACTGAAGATTTTTGGAATGGTCTAATGGTGTGAAGTGGAAAAGAGAATGCAGAGTAGAACTTGAAGTATTTTAAAAAAAAAAATTCCTCATAATTATATTGCTTGCTAGCAAGACATAATCTTGCTAGCAAGCCCTCTCTCCAGGATGGGGATTGGGACAAACAGGGATCCTCAGTTTTGCTGGGAGGGGGTCCTAAGCTGTTTTCCTGCTGTAATACTAACTCTGGTGTTGTAGATTCACGAGTCTGCCCTGCGAGCGAAGAGCAGGAGGCAGGTGGAGAGGAGGAAGCTTTCTCAGAGGCGGGTACGCTCGGCTGAGGCGGAGAAATCTTGGCGAGTGAAGCCCTCCCCAGCAGATAACCCCTGGATGACAGAGTACATGAGGTGCTACTCGGCGAGGGCTCGGTGAATCTCCATCCCCTTAGGCACCTTCAAAGGAAGCTACACATATCAGGACACTGGTGCAAGGAACCAAACTACTTATGCAAGGTTTTTATAGGGAGTTTCCAGCTGTTAAAATATTTGTTACAATGTTTTTATCTTGGCTACCTACCTCACAGTGGGGTGTATTGTTGGAGCCATAACATTTGAAGAGGCTTTTAGATATAGCTACCCAATCTTTTAAGCAATTCCCCTTTTGGGAACTTTTCTAATGCTTCAGTTGACTTGTTTTGGGGATGGGACGCGCAGAATCTTAGCATACAGGGAGTCAAAGCAAACCCTTTTTTGGTCCTTGGTTACAAATAATATGTTGTCCCTTATTTTAAAAGCCCAAGTCATGGGGAGGTGGTCTTGGGGAAAGACTTTAAAGGTGTGATGGAGGTGCCTTTGTATTTATAGTACTATTTGATTTAATAATTCTATCAAAATAAGTATATTAAGACAGGTAACAGGAAAGCCAGTGAGTCTGGTAAACAGCACTAATAAATGTAGATGCTTTAGGCAGGCAAATACCAAGTATTGTCTGTATGTAGAAACTTTCAGAAAACCTTGTCTGATTAGTGAATCTGCTCATGCTAACTTTTATTGCTGTTTGAGGTCATTAGAATAACCTAACAATTTTCAGGGTAAGAAGCAGCTACAGGATTGTTTTGCTGTTGCTGTACCAAATAACTGATGTAGACAATCATCATCTGATAGCTGCTGCTCAATGAGCAGTTGCTTGTTCTACCAGTATGAAGTTGTACTGCTGTATTAAGCTTGTGGTCATGCCCACTCTATGCTAAATCATGTAAATGTGTTTATTGAAGGAAGGGCCTGGCTCCTGTCTAATGAAGTCTATTTTTAACACTTAAGAGTATCTATTATGCTCAGTGGAGGTCAGAGTGCAATATGCATTCCATGTGGTGGTATTGTACAAGCATACTGTTAAAGGTTTTTAAACTTGAAAATCATGTTGATCAAACTTGTAGATGAAGTCCTGAGAAGTGTTCTGCCTCCCAAAACTGGTGCAGAGCTCCTCACTGCAGGGGAGTGAGGTACAGCCTTTAGTAAACAAGAACATATAATGGAGTCTACATAGTAAGGCAGTCATTGTTTGTGAGATCCTTGCTGTTTGTTTTGTTTTCTTCCTTCCCTCAAGCTGCTGTAAATTTTTCAGTTTAAGCTTTAGGCAGATTATTGCTGTAGTTGTGAGTCTCAAAGCTTTAATCAGATGTGTTGTGTGTGGAGTTACGTGTGTTGGTTATCACAGTTTGTTTTGAAGCTTGTGTTTTATAGATGACACCACCTCACAGGAAGCACACTTGCACTTCTGCAGCAGAAACCTGCACTAGTCTTAGCTTCATTCCACAATCTCAGTGAGTCAGCAGGACTCCAGAATTACTACTGCAAGAGTTACATGCTTAGTGGAAAGTTTGTGTTAGTGGAAGAAAGGGATCAAGCACCTGCTGCCTCCTAGTGTTAATGACAACTCTCATCTTCCTAAAATGTCCTAGAATCCATTAAATTATAATCGAATATTTACCTGTCTTTTTAGCTAAAGTTATAAAAATACAGACAACTATTGTCCAAGCTACCTACTAGAGATCTTACAGCTTTTTAGTCTGGTATGATTAAGTATGTTTTCTACACAGCAAAATCACTGTATTCCAACTTTTTAGTAAAACAGAGGCTAGAACTTACTAAAACTTTAGAGCAGTGACCAAAACTGAGGCAAGCTAATCCAGAGGATGCCTTTTTTTCCATATGAGATTCTTTTAATTTCCTTTTATGCTGTTTTCCTCTTTAAGTAGCTGCTGTAAATATGCTTAAGTTGCTTCTCATGCTACTTCAATTCAGAAACCCACTGCAGCTTTGAACAACAATATCAAAGCACTAATTCAGTAGTGTTTATTTAACAGCCTTATTCAATAAAAACTCTGCCTCTTCCTGTTGCCCACAGGCTTTGTAGGCTTTATGTAACTACAGCAGATGGATTGTGCCCTCGGTGCATTTTGTCATGTTAAACAGTTTCCTTGATTGTGGGCAGGACTCATCTTGCCATGCTTTCAAAGTCACCTTCTACACTTCTCTTGCCGCTGAGAACGGAGGAGCCAAGGTGAGTATGTGCCTGCCTTAAGTACCCATTTTTGGATAAGATGGTCTTTCAATTGGTCTTTCAAGTAATTATAGAAGGCTTAAATGTCTTCTGCCATGGATACTGGGTACCCAACTTAAAATATCTCAGGCTTGTCCAGGTGTTCTACAGAGCATGAGAATCTTCAACAGCATGAAGGCTGCTGCGTATGGAGGAAATGACCTATTTCTTATCCCTGTCTGGTCAAGAGCTGTTCCCCACCAAAACAATTTGTTAGGAGACATTAGTGACATTAATCAGGTCAAGTAAGTTACTGTCATGCTTTTTCAAATGGTCTGTAGCAAAAAATAACCCTGGGTGCTATCTTGGTACTATCTTGGTTTAAGTTGTATAATGCTTGAAGTGAGGAGTAAGTTCCTCTACAAATCGGAATCTGCCTTCCTGCACTTAGGCAATATTTGGCTAAAAGAAGAGTCTAGTAGGCTTGCTTAGACTATGTGAAATAGTGTAATTCTCATCCCTGCAAGTTGTATAGGCAAAATATTTGGCACGTACCAAGCTGAAGTCTGTAAAATCATTAATATAGTATTTTGATGTCAACAAATGTTGATCGACTCAAAGCAGAAGTTTCCCAGTGTAAAAGCTTTTACTATATTCCACAGAGTCTTACAGGAGGTGGCTGTTTTGCATTGAATTGGGCTTGGTGAAAAATGGTAAACCTAGTGAATATCACCCTAAGAATTAAGGAAGTTCTAAATGTTGTTTTGCATGGACTCTTGAATTCAGCCAAGTGATGAACACTTTTCACTCCTGTTTTAGAAGTAAAACTTTATAAGAGCACAACAAATACTCAGTTGTCTAAAGTCTTCATGAAAATAAGTTTATTCCTTTCTGTTTCTCAAAGTACTTCTTAGCTAAGTGAAACAAGACCTTTACAATGTGTAATGCTGCAATGTAACTACAGTGTTGTGAAGACTAGTGTTTACAATGTAAAATGTTACAACGGAAACCATGTAAGAATGTCCCTGTAAGCTACAGTAGCATGCCTGTTCAGTCACTGCTTGTCACATCTCTGCAACTATGAACTACAGACTTTTTCACTGGAAGCTGAGAGAGTCAAGGAGATGGCTAAACTTAGAGCCAAGCTTAACAAAACTGAGGGACAGAGCTGAATTTATCTAAGCATTTTATCCAGGAAGCAAATGCACATTTTAATAAGTTTTTTAACATGTAGGGAAGGGTATCTGTTCTTTTTTTTAATGGTATAATGCAGTGCCACTGAACTATAAAGGCCTCTCTTGAATTTTTTTTTTTTTTACTGTGGTAGGGACCAAAAGCTAGCAATCTGAGGGCCTTATGTGTGGTAACCTGGATATTCCAGTTTATTTTCCAGCTCAGCAGAAAAGCCATATATGGAGCCTGACTTAACACCTTGACAGTAGCCCCTAAAAAATCAGGGGTACAAGTGAATGGGGAGCTGCCTCAGCTATTGTTAGCACTGAATTCACTTTAAAAACAATAGGGAAATAACCATCTAAGCTTGAAGCAATATGTGTTTTTTAAAGTTTTTAAACAGTATTTGTTTTTAACGCTTCTGTATTGTCTGTATTTAATAGCATAGTGTCAACTTGTATGTGTGAATAAAATGAGTGACACAAAGTGCCTTGACTGCTTGTACTCTGTTTTTGGGTCTCATGTTTTCCATTACAGGGTACTTCAGTGTCTGCATGCAAACTGGGTTCTGCTTATCCCATACAGTCTCTGCTGGAAAATAAGTGCTAAGCTCTGTAATGCCTTATGTTGGGTGAAGGGTCAGATGACAGTTTGTCCAGCTGAGAGCTGAGCTTGCTTCTTGTGTTCTTCCTCTAACTCTCCTGGAGCTGCTTAATGCCCTTTCCCAATCTGACTGGCTTTTTCTGCTGCTAACAAGAGGGGGAAAATAGAGCATAAATATAACAGCTGTCTGAAATGCTATGCATGCTGCAGCCATTAGGAATCTTAATTTAGAATTCTGGAATAAAGAGGGTAACATGGGGAAAAAGCAGGAAGTTGCATCACTAAAGTATAATCTTGCAAATTTGACAAGTTTAAGCTATTAAAGGATGGCTACACTGAAGTTCTCTATGCTGCTGGTTCTATAGTAAATGAAAGATACCTGGTAGTTTTAGTCTCAGTGGATTTACAGGGTATTTATTGATTTTTTTTTTTTATAGCATTAATTATTTCAGCATATGGAATATAATGCAAATGAGTTGCACAGAATAATCAGCATTCATTTTTTAAGGACTTATGGGAGCTGTGTACTTTTAAGCTGTCAGTTACCTCATTAAATACAAAGAGAGAGTGGATGAAATGGGCTAATTGTGAATTCAGTCTGAGGTGCCTGATAAGGCAACTGGAGAAACATTTTCCCCCTTGCCTCAGTTGGTTTTAAAGCTTTAACTTCTGAAGCCACATCCTCCAGGCGACTGAGACAGCTCCACCTCATCCCCAGCCATCGGTGCAGAGACACGAGGAAGGTAAGTGCAGCTCGTGCCTTTTGTCTGGTTCCTCTCTAACAGAGTGGCAGCAGCAGCAGCATTGCAGGGGTGGGACCCTCCCGTGCCATGGGCAAAGCTGCCACCAGAGGGTGCAGTGAGGGCCCTCCCCTGGGGAAATAACACCAAAGTGCTTCAGCAGCTGCTGCTGCTTTCCCAGGCAGCTACTGACTGAAATTAATTTAGCAGACGTGTTGTTTTTTCCAAGACCATCTAAAAGTTGTCATGCTATGGATGCCGCTTGGCAGGCAAAACCTGTACAAGTAAAAATTTGTAGTAAGACGCCTAGAAAATCAAGATTCTTTATTTGGTGCTAGATACAAGCATTAAATGAAACAGCATAGGCCAACAGACTCATTAAAAGGCAAGACATAGGCTATAATAAGACATTTAACTCTTTTAAAGGTCTGAACACTTAAAGCTCCCCATCCAGCAAATCCTAGGATATAGGTACCTGGTATTATTTAATGTAAAACTCCAAGCCATCTTGCTTTGGTACAGTAAGAATTTTACACTAAACCCATATATAATTTAACCGATTTATCACTGTTTAGGCAAGCTAGGTTTGGTTTGCGGTGTGAACTATAATGCTAAAGCTTAATGTATTCCAAGGCTGTTACTGGCATGATTTTTATTTCTAGAAATAAAAAAGCCTAAGAGGAGAGAGAGTAAACAACGTAGCTCACACTGGAGAGCTCTTGCTTCCAACAGTATTTCCCTCAGGAGTTGCCATTTTAGAAAGTTTCTTTTTAAAATGTCAGTGAGAGATGCAGCATCAAAGGTTGCAATACTAGAAAACATGCACATTAACTTGGTTAATGTGTATACAGTAAGAGCATACATTTAAAAAAAGGTAAAAAACATGTCAAAACTCATAATGAAACTATTCTTTCCTTCCAAGTAGGAAGGGGACAGCTTAAGACAGTTGGTTACAGAAAGAATAAAACTGTGCTTACTGCTTCTTCACCACAGACACTTGACCAAAATGATCGTAAGAACATGTATACAAAAGTGGCCTGTCTTGTACATAAAAGGGAAAAGGACAGGAAGAAGTGTAACAAAATCCCTGCCAAACCCCTAGAGTTTCCATTTAAAAGCAACAGAACTAAGTAACAGTCCCCTGCTCCTTTCAACTGCTACTGTAATAATGGAAAGAAGTTTTGATCAACAGCCAACACCACTTAAACAGTGACAGGAGCAAAACCTCCAGCTTTACTTCTGCCATGTCCCAGCTGATAAGCAAGTGCTCAGCTTTCACTTTTGCCAGTGTACCAACAAAACTGATTAGACTGCAGTAAGTGGGGGGGGAAACAGACTCCCCACTACCTTGTCTTCTCCCAGCACTCCAGAACTGGTTTGGAGTTTCAGAACCAACACCTTCCCTTCCCCAGCTCTGGCAGAAACAACACACCCCAACTACTTCCAAGGATTTGCTTTTGGTAACTGCTTCCAGTTCTGAGCACTGGAAGCTAAAATAAGTTTGTGAGGATCAAGACAGGTAAGTTGTTTTTTTTTGGAGTCCTTTGTTCTCATAAATGCATAGCTAAGCTGCTTTAAAAACACTTTACACACTCACCAGGAAGAGACTACTCCTTGGGAATAATTATCAGTTACGTAACAAGTTCTCCTATGTATTTTGTTATATTTAGAACTGAAAAAAACTTTGAAGTGTTTAGTTTTAAAAAGGCTGTTAGGTCCAAACTTAGGCTTTTCATGTGCCAAGCTGACTTAATTCCTTCTAATTCAGAGATGGTCCAAGGTGTAATTTTCCGGTAAGCATCCATTTGAAACAAAAACAATCAGGACAACAGGAATAGTTTCAAACAGAATTCTAATTCCATGAAAGATGGTATAACTGTGTAGCATCCTTGCTTTGCTCTTGTGCTTTAACTGCCCTCTAAATTACAGCATCAGTTCAGTTTTCTGGCTTAGTTCTTAAATATGCATTTGACAAGCAATTCTTAAACAGAAATGAATCAATCATATATAGAAAACAGTAAAAGTTGTTTGACCATGGAATTTCAATACTGGCTTCTGAGCAAACCAATTATTGTGTTAATTTGCACTTCCAGGGAGACATCCCATTTCTAGTTATATAAGTAAGTAAAAATGTCACTTATGATTTCCATTAGTGCTAGTGAGGTTGCCCCCCTCAACTGGTTGAATTCAGCTACCTCCATAAACACTAGTTCTGCAGCTCCTTATCTGGCAAAACAAAAGCCACAGGTCTCTTACCTCACCAGTTGTCATGGCACTGTAAAAAAGACGAGCAACACTTGTGCTTCAGTCCTGCCTCTCAGACCCTCTGCAAGTCTCTTCCTCTTCTGTCTCCTGCTGAGGAATGAGGACAGGATTCCTAATCTCTTGCCCACAATAAAAACAGTGCAGGAAAGAAAGGCTGAATTGCATGTTTTAACATTTAAAAAAAAAAAAATTGTACCAAGCCTGAAATTCCCCTTGACAAGTAATTCTTCCTTCCTGTGAAACTCAAGTAGTATACTTGGCATTTTCTTTCCATCACCCCAGTCTCCCAGGGGCAATGTGGCCAGAACTGCATACAGTGCACTCACATCAAGTTCAAAAGTAGAGCTCCAGCAAGACAAAGTTCCTAATTTTGAAGTCTCATTTCAAAATTCAAGTTTTCAATTGTACTTCACGAATGTTTAAGAAAAAGGAATCAGTATTTTCAATTTCATACACTTGGGATACTTTACATCCATCTATTTAGGTTCAGTTTGTACCTCACCAGGTAACAGATCATATTTTCACTGCTGATTGCTCTGTGATAAGAGGCTGGGAGAACTCCTACTGTGATAATTCTCTGTAAGTCCATGCTCCTGCCCTAGAATTACAACACATAGAAGATATACAGTTCTGTTCACATATACATTCCACCTTCATGATGCCAGTGCTACACAAAACATCAGGACCAAGAAAAAAAATCAAGTTAGTCAACAGCATTTGAAAAACCTGAAAGTGCTTTTCTCAACTGCTGAAGTTTACGAACTGTGATAAAATACAGTATGTCAATAAAAAAATTACTTTTCCAACTTGACATAAGTATGGGTCCTAACCATATGTTGAGAATCAGTCACATCAACAGCTTGTCAGAATGCAGCAAACCATATAGGAAAAATAAAACAACCACCCCTCACCAACAGGACCAGTGGTTTTATAATTCAGGTCATAAATATAACCTATTGTGCAACAAACAAACATGACAAAGCCTACCTCAGTTAAGTTTGTTTATATGATAAAAAAATATAATATTAAACTGCTTGTAGTGCAACATTCTATCAGCATACATAAGTATACCATGCTTTGTAATTTTACTGTTACATTATTTACAGTATATAGCAATGCTTTAAACTAGAGGTGAAAGAACAAGAACAGGTACTGGAAAATGTCTGCATACAGGTATGTTTGACCCTTAATATTGTCCACCAAATTATCGAGTTTGCTTTGCAGACTTTTGTGTCATGTGAACACTGCTGCCCCACACCACACCTTTCTGTCAGCAGTGGACTGCTCTGTTTGGAGACAGTGGAAAGATGCTTCTAAGAACTGCATAGCCTTTAAGCTTTACTGTTTCTTCAAGCACCATTGGCAAGAACAGCTGTAAAATACAAAAGAACTCCATCAATTACCTATATCTGATCAATCTGAAAACTCAGCTCATGAAATAATATCAATAAATATTCACTCCTGTTGGGCAATACCAAAGCTGAACTAAATTAATGCCTTTTCCAGCAGTCTCTCAGTTAAGGATAACATCTTATAGAAGGAAAATGAGGAAAGCAGTTCAAGAATTCTTATCCACTATTTAAAATTCTGAGCTTTAATTGGGAGCTAAGCTCACAGAATACAGAACGAAAAGAGAACATAGAATTTGTGCTGCCTTATGTAACATTTTGTAAAGCTTCCGCTGCTGTGCACTGCTCAAAGTGATGAAAACCAAAAAACCAACGGTAAAAATGATGCAGTAACTATGAAAGTTTCAGTCTTTACACTTTATGTTTTCAGAAGAACTATATAATAGGTTTGGACAAGATACCACACCATACATCTTATGAATTCTCATTTCTAGTAATTGTCTGTTATACAACCGAAATTATTCGCCTTCTCTACAGTATATTAGGTGTGTATTAGGGCTATAATGCTTTCCAGGAATACAGAATTTTGAGATGTTTTCCACAGCATTACTCAGAGTAAGCAAAGATCTAGAAATACTTCAGTAAGAGCACTGGTGTTGCTTTACTCAGAAGATGGTAGAAGAAAAATCAAAGTACAGACAAATAATCCATTCTGCTGTGCAGTAGAACACTAGGTTGTATGTTACTTCACAGACAGACTGTGAAAAAGCCAAGCACTTGATACAACACATTTATGAAATATGGTAATTTACCCAACACCCCAAGACTTTTGCAACCTTACCTTCTGTATCTGTAGTAAGTATTTGGGATTTTGTGTTTTGTTTCTTTAACACCCACATTCTTGAGCACTTTGTGCTTGTGCTCTCCGTGGTGATCTCAGCTGTCTCAAGGCAGCGTCTCCATACTGAATACCTGAGCCCATTCTTTCTGGATCCAGTTCTCCTGATGAGAAGCAAAATGGTCAGAAGATGGACCATGTGCATATAATACAATCCAATCTAACTGACAATGTTAGACAAAAAATGCCCAATGATATTCTGCTGTAGATATGGAGAACTCCATTGCAATCCTGTTTACTTTTAGGCAATTCACAATCTGTGTCCTTTTCTCCTGTAATTTCAACTGTGTGCCCTTAAATAATAATGTTTTCTGTAAAAACTGTTAAAACCAACCTGCTTTCAGAGACAAATATGCAAAGAAAGTAGTAAATAGCAAATCAAACAAAAACAGAGATCAATCTGACACTAGATTCCATAAAGCACTGCCCCTAGAGAACATTATCTCAACCCTGCCTACTTCTGGTATCCATTTCTGCCTACTCCGTATCCTGTGCCTTCAGAAATGTTCTTTTGGCTGTATGGTAGACTGGCCAAAATTAGAAACATTTAGTCTGAAAAAAAACCAAACCAACAACCCAACCAAAGAATCCCTCTGAATAATTCAGATCACTTATTCAGGTTCATTGCACACATGTGATCCCTTTGTAGGTCAGCAGATGACACCCTGTTGAGGGGATCAGTTGATAGCTCGAGGGTAGGACTACCATTCATGAAAGACCTTGGCCAAGCTAGAGGAAGAGGCCAGCAAGAACCTCATGAATGTCAGCAACTACACAGGCCAAGCTCTGCACCTGCGATGGAACAAACCCAAGCAGTGGTACAGGCTGGGGACTGACGAGATAGAGAACAGCAGTTGTGTAGCTCTGGGACACACTGCCCAAGGGGCTGGGGAATCTCCATTCCTGGAGCACCTCAAAATGTACCTTGACAAGCCCCAGGTAACTTGCTCTAACTTTGAACCTGAACAGGAGGCTGGACTAGAGATCTGCATAGCTTCTTCTCAGAAGAATCAGAAGAATCGGTTCTCCCACGATTCAGGGCACGTGTGCAGTCACAAAGAAAACGAGCAGCTCACAGAAAACAGAACTTACTTCTGTTGTTGTAATGCCTCTTTATATCAGTAGAGAAACTAGTTATACTTTGCTTTTGCATTTTTGTTTGTTTCAGAGTAAAGGTGTTGTTTGGCATCAATTTGATGCAGTAGTCAGGGAATTCCTATGAAAATACCACATTCTTTTCACCTAAAAATCTGCGTTTAGCTTTCAAAATATGCAATTACATCCTGAGGCAGACTTTTCAACATGGCCAACACTTAAAATTTTGAAGATATCAAACAGCTAAAAGACCTGGGAAGACCTGATTGCCACTTTTCAGTACTTAAAGGGGGCCTATAAGAAAGAAGAGGACAGTCTTTTTAGCAAGGCCTGTTGCAACAGGACAAGGGATGATGGTTTTAAACTAAAAGAAGGTAGATTTAGATTAGATATAAGGAATAAATTTTTTACAGTGAGGGTGGTGAAACACTGGCCCAGGTTGCCCAGAGAGGTGGCAAAAGCCCAATCCCTGGAAACATTCCAGGTCATGTCAGATGAGGCTCTGAGCAACCTGATCTAGTTGAAAATGTCCCTGCTTACTGTAGGGGGATTGGACTAGATGACCTTTAAAGGTCCCTTCCAACCCAAAACGTTCTACGATTCTGTAAGAGAGGAAAATCAGAATGCAAATAAGCTGTAATGACATCTAACGCTTATGAGTCTGCCTCTTATAGAAACCTGCTCACCTTTGCACTGAGAAGTTTCTGGTATATTTCTAGATCTGCAAAAGTAAAAATGGCCAACAGGCAAGAAGGTCACTTCAAAGGAGCACTGTTGCTAGGAAACACCCCTAAAATATTCAGAATTGCTGTACCAATTCTCTTGACTGTATTCCCTGTTACACATGAGAAGCAGAATTGAGAGTTATGTCTGCTGTGATACTAAGTTTTTATTTGGCATTGCTAAAACTGTCTAATGTCATGCTTGATGTTTGTAGCGAGACAACCCACAGAATGCACCACCCACACTTAGAACTGACTGCTAAGGTAAACACTGTGTAAAAACATCCATAATTTACACCACCACTCCTTTTAGATATACAGATCTGACCTAGATGTCCATTCCTATTAAAACATATGGGAAGCAGCTCTAAACCAAACAGGTTATTCTACTACAATGAAATTTTGATTCTCTGGGTTAATTCTATTGAAGAACTTTGAATGGTGGTATTTCCACATGTACTTTTAGTTTTCAGGGAAAAAAAAATAGAAGAATATAAATCTCAACTTACCTGATTCAATTTTATTGAGTATTTTTCTTGCACACTGTACAAAAGCCTCTTCAACATTTTCCCCCGTTAGTGCACTTGTTTCCAAGAACATCAGCTCTGCATTTGACACCAGAAAAACAATCTCAAAACAAGTCTGGGATATCCGATACAGTAATTAAAAGCATGAAAGCTAGGAACAATTAAAATTTCTTGAATGAAAACTATTGTCAAATAGTAAGGCCCAGAAAAATTAGCTTTTGATGGCAAAAACAAAATCAAACCCAAAATAAAAAAAAACAACAAAGAACCCAACAAAAAAAACCTTCCTTTGAAATTTAGTCACTAACTCTAGAAATCTGGCATCCAAAGATGATAGCCTGGGCTGTGTGTGCAAAACAGTGGATGAAACCAAAGAACTTCATATAGATTTCCATTAATAGAAAGTTACATGCAAAAGGACAGCCAGGAGGCACAGTTGATAAAAAATACTGTTCATAATTGGTTCATAAAAGCCAAGATTTTACTGATGGCAGAACTGCAACACACAAGGCTAAACTGAGACTGGATTTGGCTGCCACAGAATTGTGTCTTCAGGATGGAAATTCCAAATACCACTGACCAGGTAACAGTCACCTGGATCCATGCCAAGCACTGAACTCAGTTATGAGTAAAACTCATCCCTTTTAATGGCGGCACGCTCCATCCAACCTCGTCTATGATCTGTAGAATCTGTAAGATGCTGAAAACTTGGAAATGGAGCTCTTCATTTTCTTCTCAGCTCTTTGGAAGCAAGGCAATACCTGAAGTTGTATTAACATTCCCTAGGAAATATATCCCCACACAGAAGGTGCCCTGTAAGCCACAGCTGCAGCTGGAAGAATCCCTGGTAATGAGACTTAAGCAGTACACGCAGTTTTCACTGCAGGCACTGTCCTCTCTCCGTGCCTCATGCTCTGGTGGAGCTCTCTTTTTCTGTAGATATTTGACAAGGTAGAGTGGGCAAAGTACTTCTTAACTGCTCGTAAATTAAGTATTAAGCATCTGTGAATGCTACATGAAGATTCTGTACTACTCACCATTTTCTTGTGCGAACCGGGATGCTTCTAAAAAAGTAACTTCCCGATCTGCATCCAGATCCTTTTTGTTTCCACACAGTATTATGACAATATTTTGACTTGCTAGCATTCTTGCGTCCGTCAACCAATTAGTAAGCGCGTTGTAGGTTTCCCGGCTAGGTAGGAAACGACACCCTTTATTCAGAACAGCTCCCTGAGCTCAAACTCAGAAGGCAAATCTGCACTTGTGGCAAACAATGAATTGCTGCTAGGCAGGCAAGTCACCTACACATCTGTGTCAGCTATGAACTGGGCAGAGTACCACGTTCCTTCATGAAACTACCTCAAAGCTTCCATGTTTTTAAAAAGCAAAATTAAATTAAGCACTATATGTAAGTACACACAATTATAAGATATCCTGTTAATGTGAAAAGTTTGAATTTTAAGCACTAATCTAGTTTCTAATCTAGTTTCAGCTTTTTGTGCATGAAATTTTGCAGGTAAACAAATGAGTTATTGTTAACAGGGAATTTAACTGTTACTCAGGTTCATACAGGTGGGATTGTAAAACACTTGAGTGGAATTGCATGCCTGAACTCTCTCATCTGTGTCAAGACCAGTGTTGCAGACAGTTACCCTGCACACATCATTAGCCATTGCAGTGGTGGCCAGAGATAAAGTCTTCAGAGATAAAGTCTTCAAGCAGTTAGGACTGACAAATTAGTCCAACTGACCTTAAGCACAAACCACAGATTCCAAGGACTGCTCAGAGGAGAACGTCCAGTCACAAGACCAAATTCAACAGATCTAGTGAATCATCATCACCCAACACTAAATCCACCATGATCAGAGCAGCCACTGGCAGGCCAATTCCCACGTATTTCTCTAACTCTTTGAGACGGTTTACATTTATGACATTGACAATATCTCATGTAAGCAAGTTCCAAAATTTCAAACTGCACTGAAACTTAAGTACTTTTCATACTTATTTTCCTCCTGCCAGCTCTCAGTTAGAGGATTAGGTACTTGGGGAGGAATCATTATGACTTAATTGTATCTAGCATTCTAGAAGCAAGAGAGTTGTTAGCTTCCTTACCTGGTTATGTCATAGACAAGCAAAGCACCTGCAGCTCCTCTGTAGTAACTCCTTGTTACAGATCTGAAACAGAATTCCAGACGTACATTTCTGTAATACCTTCACTTTACAAATCTGGGTTAATATAATGCAATCTATATTATGAAAAATAATTCTCTTTTATGTATTTAAAATAAAATATGCTTTTAGACAACATTAAGAGCTGTGCAGCAGCAGACTATTTACAGCTAGACCTCTGATGAAGCACCTTCACTACCTATCACTGTAGAGGGAATCACAAAGTTCATTATGACCCATGTGCTGCTGGAGTGACACACATCACCACACTACATGGCCTGATACAGAACTGGTTGCTGATGGTGGTATCTGTGGTATGAAAACAGCACAATTAACTTATGCTTGAACACTTGGCAGTGAGGAGAGAACGGGCAAAGCAGCTGTAACTGAACTCTACAAGTACAGAGCCTCCAAGCTCCTCAGATTCCCAGGACATCTGGCCAACAAACTGAAGAGATCTCATTAATGGAGACCACTTAGCACTGCCCAGCTTTACCTAGTCACAGACATATTCAAAGAACTTCTCCAACAGAGAACATTTACCTGGACTCCTGCCCATTACACAGAAGTCTACCATCACACTCACCTTTGCTAACCACCATCCCTTCCACCAAACCAAAGACCTCACACACAGACCCCACCCCCTAAAATATAAAAAACTGATGTCCTCTTTCACAGTGAATGTACTCAACAATATATTCAATCTTTACTGAGTTTGATCTATGCCTCAGATGTATGACTGAGTTAAAATACAGGATTAAAAGTACAGTGGTGATTCTGAGGTGACAAATACATTGCTTTTTCTTTTAGAAACTTAAGAGATCTCAGTCTTTCTAGAAAAATACTTGGCCAAGTGAACTAAACAGCTGATTCTCCCCCCCCACCTCCCAGTAAAACAATATTATCATATGAAATTGTTCTCATGCAGATTTTGGACAGCCCACAACTTCCTAGCATTTACTTATTCCAACCAATAGAGGGTCTTCTGAACACAGAGTTAAACACACACGTTAATTAAAAAACTGTTCTGGGTTTGGCTGGTGAACAAATTTTTAGCCACATATTCTACTCATATATCTTAAGCTACAACAGAAACAAACCAGTGAAAGAAATGGCAGAACCTCAGATCCTGCAAGGCAGTGTTGACTTACTGAAATTAGTGGATCTATGTTGCCATCTCCAAGCTGGAAGATCTGGCCTAGTTAATAATACGAAAGCAGACAAACAGTTCCACTGAGCAAGAAACTATGCCTGGTTATAAGCAGGTATAAATACTACCTAATACCTACAGCAACAACTTAGTAACAAACACTTAATAAAATGATTAAAAAGGATACCTGAATCTCTCTTGTCCTGCTGTATCCCAGATCTGCAATTTTACATATTTGCCACCAACATTTATGATCTTCGAGCCAAATTCCACTCCTATAGTATGATTTGAATCATCTTTGACTACAAAAAAGAAACAAAATCAGGCTTATGTAGAGAATATTTAGAGTGAATATTTGTTTTTTATGTAACTCAATTTAGGTATAATCAAAGCTCCTCAGTGCTCAACTTACAAACTACTTCCTGAACCATCAAATTCAGTGCCTCTCAAATCTACAGCCACCATGCAGAAATAAGCATTCTCAGAATTTTTGAACACGTTAATCAATGTAAAATTGCTACTAGAAAAGCCAACCTTAAATGAATCCCAGTTTACATTAATAAACGGCAAGATAACTTTTGTACACTTTTTTTCCCAACTGTGTTTTCTAGTACTTTGATGCAACTTAAAATTAAAATTCATAGAAAAGCAGAACACAAAAAGACAGTCTTGCCCATGAATAAGCAAGAGCAGCTACTTCTTCAAAGCACAAAGTTAAGATACTCTTTCCATGTATAGTGTTGATATCAGCAATATACAACAGCCCTTGTTCACTTCTAGTGAATCAAGGTCACAGTTCAAGCTCAATCACAGAATCGTGCCACATTCGTTAGTGAATACACATTACTTCCCCAGAGCTATTCCTCAAGACATAAGCTGAATTACCATTTGGTTGAGAAAGGTAACAGTCACCTTAGATTTAAAGAGGTTTCTAATGTGTATTATTTTTGTTTAATCATGATGTGAAATGCACTACCCGACAGGAAATTTTCTTTTATATCATGTTTATCTCTAGATAACATTTACGATGGAGTCTCTGCCAGTATTCATCATAGAACACAGTCCTTATCAAAGAACACAGAGTGTCTTATTTAGAAAAAGACTACAGGCTTTTTCAATCTACTCAATCTACTCAAGCAATTCAATGTAAATTTCATCTGCTCAGTATTTTTTCATAAAAGACCCAAGTCTCTACTATAAATCTAGAGAAGCTTACAGCTGCAAGATGCAATTCTCACAAAAAGTGAGCTTGTCTTCATGAACACCCTGTTAACATTTATTAGAGAGTAACAGAGAATACTGCTTAATATCAGGCTTTTGATAAGAGGCCAACAGTGAGCAATAAAGATTTACAGCATGGTCCTGAACATAGTTCTCAGTCAAAATCCTCATCTATATAAACAAGTGAACTGCAGGAACTTCCACACAAAGAATAGATAGTCACGTAGGCAAAGCCTTCGTCTGCGGCACAAAGCAATGGAGAACTCTTACTGTGCTCACACATACTTACATTTCTTTTCAATAAATTGGTGTAGTAAACAGGATTTTCCAGTTCCAGCGTTGCCTATGACCAAGAACTTAAACAGGAAATCTGAAGATTGAAAGACAAAAAAAATTACTAAATTTTAGTATGCTCTCACATTTTAGTCACAAGGTCAAGTACACAAGGCAGCTATTCTCTAGTAGCTGTTAATTCAAAGAGAAATGAATAGATGACAAAATTTAGCAAAATAACAATAAATCTGAAGAATAAGCCAGTGTATTCAATAGCAATGTTACAAAGTAGGGGCTAAGACTGCTATTTGTTTATGGAGATATGAGAATGGTAAGGAAACATGGAAAAGGCTGAACCTGAATTCAGTTAAAATAAGCTTAATTACAGGCATATGGTTGGCTTGTATTCCAGCAATCTTCCTTGTTTTACCACTCCCAAACATAGACACTGATAAACTTCCCCTAATATATAGCCATCAAAGCAACCTTTACAGTTTCTGCAAGATTCACTATTTATTTTTCTACCAGCAGCAGCATTTTGTTTGTTTTTACAGTCATCTTTACAATTTCATTGCACAGTTCCTTTTATAAACGTAGCAGGTCTCCTGAAGACACCGAGTAATCACACAATGAAGACAATTAAGTTTGCAACACCAACAAAAATAAAAACTTAATATTATTTAATTAACAGTGTTCAGAGCTGTCAAACGGTTTACACAGGTATCAACCCAGGGGATGGGTTGATAAAACAAAAAAAAAAACAGACTATGCTAAGTACATCTGAGAACTGATACATCATCAGAATCTCATTTGAGTCTTTTTTGAGCTTTACAGATTGAATTTAACACGCACACAAACCTATGTGCTCATTTCATTGCATGGGGGAATTTGTTGTGGTACTTAATAAACCACTCCCTAGCAATGGTAGAAGTAACAAGCAAGTTTCTCATATGGTAAGAAAATTCCCATAATTGAAAAAGCAAGGGCTATGAGTCTTGGGAATGTCCATTATCCTTTGTCTTCACCTCTCTCCCAAATTCGATTAATATTTAAAATCAGATGGCATTTTACTAAGGATTTTTTCTTTTTTACGTTTTACCTTTGCATGATTTTTCTTGTTTCAAATGCTGCAACAGGCTTAGTTTAGATTCTGTATTCTAACCTTCTCAGAAAGGGACTGCCATTTCTAGCTCACAAATATGACCATTTACACACTCAAGACATTTTGTTCCAAACTCCTCTCATTCTTCACGCCCCCACCCAGCTGCTCATGCTTTCTGGATGGAAAAAAAATAGTTACAAAAAGGATTTTCTTGAGGTTGTGAAAATTCTGTGTGTTATACCCTGTAAAGAAGGGCCCTTCATCTCAACTGCAAAACACAATGAAGCTGAAAATGCTTCATTCTACCAAATCTTCACTGCTAGTATGAACCACAGATATCCTACATGGCCCCAAAGTGTGAGGTTAAGAAAAAATTAATCTCGGAAAGAAAGCCAAGTCTCTCTTTTTATGGACCAAATATCACTAGTTAGCTGCCTTGTGTACCTTTTTGTATATTTAAACTACTGTGGGGGTGTGTGTGATCTCTCTGGTTTTACCACTTTCAGAGAGTTCCTCAAAATGCGAGATGTTCTGAGACAGTCGCAATTAAAAGAACTTGTTTCTGGTCTCTCCAATTTTAACAAAAAAAAATCATCAAAACAACGAAACCAACAACAACCAACAGTCTGAAATGCTGTTAAAACTGGTATTCCCACATATTAGGTGAATACGTTGTTTCTCAGATTTTCATATTAAAAACAAATCCAAAATTCAAGTGTACCTTCCTTTTTTCCATGGAAGACTCATATTATTGACAGTAGTATAACAGCTACTGTCAAACTAAGCCAGGAAAAGAATAAAACCAAACCTCTATTCCTACAGCAATTTGCTCTGTGATGGTAAGCCCTGGTGGTGAAATGTGGCTCGCAAAGCCATACTTGTGCAGCCCACAAAGCCACACTGAACAGCAAAATTCAACGTGCTGCTCTGTTCTGCCAGACAGGCTGCAGGCCAGTGAGGAACTGAGACAATGGCATCGTGGTCAGAAATTTATCTGGAATAGCTTCAGACAGCAGAGTATTTTTCCTGAGGTGTTTTAAATTGAAGTGGTTTATATTTTGCTCTGAAAATGAGAGTGATATTTGGGGATTTTATATTAATGTCTTTAAATTGATAACATATTCTAGCAGCACTTTACAACAGACTCCCAATTCCTACCGAGATTCTATTGTGCCAGACAACTTTAAAAGGGAATCTTTACTACAAATAAATCACTTACATGCTGATTCAATACCTGCTTATTTAACAGACAAAAAATATATTTCCACCAAACAGCAAACAGGTTTTCTGAAGTGCAACTTGAAACTGCACTAACAATTCACTTGTTTACAGTATGAAAGAGAAATGTGTTTTTTTCTACCATAGAATAGAAATCTCTAAATCTTGTAATAAAAAAAAGATCAAAACCTTTCTGCACTAAAGAAGGCAGCAATGTTTCCAAACACATGTGGACTCGTAAACAACACTAGGGAGTTACATTCACAACTGTAACAGTGCTTCTATCAGTAATGTAAATTTAATGTAAATTGTTCAAAATAGCAAAAGGCTTTTAGACTTATGTTAACAGTTTATCCACAAGCACTGGGTAGCACATTTCAGGAAATACTGAATACTATGCACACTTAATCAACTGCTAGGAAGGACAAGAAAAGGGATTTGCCAATACCAAAAGTCATAAATATTGATACTGAACAAGTTTTTAAGTTCACAGCCTAGCATATTAACGAGTAAAGTAAGAACAGAAAGAACATATTCCATTTTGTTATTCTGGAACTTCTTTCTTGTAATGCCACTCTGTATCACAACAGGAACCACATCAATTACATTTTCACAACTTTTATTATTGCTTGGTTTAGGACATGAAATATTTTCTCTTTGAACTATACAGATGTATCTAAAAAATCAGCACAGAAACTTAATGAGATAGGGCAGACAGCTCCTTTTAGCCCAGCTGTAACATCACTGTGTACTCACATTTTGCAAAAACTTTTATAAATTCATTTTTTGTAATTTCACAAATGCAACTCACTTTCTAGTGTTTGCACTACTGCTTAATTGCTCTAGTTTTTTTATTTTTGGAGTCCTTTTCCCACTCTTCCCAGAGGAGTTGTCACCTCCCTCTCCCTGACCCCTCTGTATTAACAAAGCAGCTCTGAGCTCCAACATTCCAGATAGCTGCCAAGGCTGTCACCCTAGAGAAGTTTTTCTTTTGAATTCTGTTGTTCCTCCTTCATGGGAAAGCTGAAAAGCACCATCGTTCAGATATTACAAATGCTTGCTACCATGCTGGCCACTGAAAAGGTCTAGAAAAGTTAAAGTACTTTGCCTGTAAATAAGGTCGTCATTATACAGAGAGCATTTAGGATGAAAAACTGAACTCTGTGCCAAGAGGAAAAAAAGGTTACAAAACATACACTAGAAAAAGCATAAAGAGATGAAAGATAGCAAAGCATGGCTGTTTAAGGAAATAAGGCAATACAAAGAATCAGCTCACCACCCTCTGTGAGCTATATGTATCACCTGATCCCAAACTGGGTAGGGGGTACAGGAAACAAATCTTGTTTTCCAGCACAGGTGAAAAGGGGTAAAACTGTGGCTCCACCCCAAAGATGCTAAAGTACATGTTTGGAAGTTGTGGGGCTGGAAGGAGAGGGAGCTGAGCGGAAAGGAGAAGGGAGACAACTGGGGGCTTTGACTCTAGTACCAGCAAAACCAGATGGTTGATGTGAAAACCACCCCCAGACACCCAGCCTCCTCTGAATGAAGTTTGCTCCACTAGAAGGAATAATTGAACAGCTTCTGAGCTATTGTAGCTTAGCCTTTAAAATGTCAGGAAAATTAAGCTGTTTCTTATATGCTTGCTAATACAGAAAGGGGGAAAATAAAAAAGACCAAATCATATCCTCAGTTCTGTTTTGCAGAAATCTGCATAAAGAAAGTGTGTTCCAAAGCATTTCTATTGGCATATGCTACCTCCAAATGACAGAAAAGAGGAGCTGTTCTCCCTGCTTACTTGTTTCTCCGGCAATAAGAATTAACAAGATAAACAGGTAGAACAGATAAACTTGGTTCTATCCCAGTCTGCATAATAAATGCTTGAAAGAGGGAAGATCTACTTTAGTGCCAAGACTGAGAGGCTACAGACCTTGGTTTGAAAACAAGGAAGTGACAAGAATCACAGTAAAGGGACAGAAATAGTTGGGAAAACTGGGTGAAGAGAAAAGCTTCGAAGCAGCCAGAATTTGACACAGAGAAAAGAACTTGGGGAGGGAAAGAAAATGCTAACAGGAAAACACATGTAAATTAACTGAGGTAGATAATGAAGTATAGGAGGAAGAAAGGAGAGACCACAGGAAAGTATCTTTATTTCTCATGGATTGAGAAAAATATTTGACCCACCCATCCCTTTTCAAAGGGAAGAAAATTTGAAACCTCACAGAAAAAATTAAAGTCATATAAAATTCAGACAGGAAAATGATATTGGGAAAAACCAAACAAACCACCAACTGCTTTCCTGAGTCTATCTGTACGGGATGAAAAGCTTGAGGTTACATGATTAGAATTGGTCATAATCCAGGTGATAAGAATTAAAATCCAACTCCTGAATAAGTATCTCCAAGGGCAGAATCTACAGAGATTCCAGCACTGAGATTCTGAGATACAGTGACCACTGACCTCAGCCACCAGTGAGAAACTGCCCCAATACTTCTATTATTCTTGGTGATCACTGTGACATCTGATCTAAAACAAAGCACTCTTTGTTAGGACAGTGAGCACATTAAATCCCAGAGAGTTCATCAAGAACAGAAGATTCATGATTTTATCACATCATACTGCTTTCTTTGAACTGTCAGTTGGTCTGCTATGTATGTAAACACTGCAAAATTAGATACTGATTACTGTTATGGTCAGAGATGATATAGCCGTTGTTAAATTTTATAACTTAGTTTTTGTTCTTCTATCTACTCTAAACCTTGACACTCTCAAGTATTCTAGCTCAGAATTTTTGTAGCTTGTGTAAG